TCAGTTTCAACCCCCCCCCCCCCCCCCACTGTTGATCTTAATTTAAGTGCACGGTTGGATATCAAGAACCCCAATTACTACCCTTTGGTCAATACGCAGTGGTGATAATGTCTCTATAGTGAAAGCTGTTAAAATAAAGGGGTGGGGGTGAAACGTGTGTTTTTGCTCTTAAACATTTGCTTGAAATTTCGTGGCCAATATTTCTTCCCTACTTTGTAGCGGTAAAATGAAATTGTACCTTCGATTTTCGGAGCATTTCCCTTCTAACTTCAAATCTGCAACTGTCTCTTCTCGGCTCTTTGAACTATTGAGGCTTGTTTTGTTTCAACTATTGGAAGAAAAAGTGAAATAGAGCGACAAGAACGACACTATTGAATCCATAATACCGGCCAATATATATGGAACTTCTTATACAAACATTTGCTGCAATCCATGGGACGAATAGTGAGATTTGAATATTGAAATTCAGAGATTGCTCATTTAGCGATTATTTTGCAATCCTAATTCCAGAAGCAAGGAAACTTGATCTCACTCTCTTCCTCCCTCTCTGATACGTTTTGTTTCCTTTTGCATTATTATCTGACAGGTTTTCTGTTGACCCAAATTGAATGTGCTAAATTCCCGCGTTTTTTTTTCATGTCTGGCAATTATGTGTAGTTGTAGGTCTTTAAAAAGGAAGTGCCACAATTTTAGCGAATAGATTTTATCATGTGACTAAGACAAATCGAAGGAGGTAGTTGTGGTTGTCATAACTATTTCATTTATTAACGGGAGAACAGCATGTAATCGGTCGGGGGGAGGAGGAGGGGGGGGGAGATATCGGTTATATCCATTTTTCCTTAATCTTTTGCAAATTTGTACATTTGCGACTTTTGATTCACGTCCAAGATTAGTCGGAGGGATGTCATCGTGGAAACGGCCCAGCAATGACTGTGAGACCTCTGATCTTTGAACTCGTAGACAAGCACTTTTAGCTCCGCTCCGGCTGTGCACATTTTGTTAAAATTCACTTTCTTTTTCAAAATACTGTTCATATATATGAGTTTGAAGCAAACGCTGACTACCTTATTGCTCTAACTGCCTGTACAGTTCACAGTTTTCTTCTACTATCAGTCATATTTGGTCTCCCAAATCTATCAAGTGAAATGTAGAAAGCGTCCAAATTTCGGTTTTAGGAAAGAGATTCTAAAATCCTAAATCCCCCTAAAGAAATTTGCACTCTGTCTTTATTCTTGTTAACTAGAAGCAAGTAATGCGATTGGCCATCTACGTCACTGTATGCGCACTTATGGATATGGATCTTGTTATCACCGACTTAGCGTTCTATTTGCGACTAGCTGTGCGCATTATTTATGTTCTAGGTGTTATTTCAGATTACGGTTGGTGGTAGCACATATTTCTTTGAGTGAATTCATTTTAGTGCCTTGTGTATTGACCTTAGTATTTGCCTATTTATTAGGGGGATAAATCAAGTAGTAAATGATGGTTGGCACCTCTAGCCAAGCAGCTATTAACCACCTTCCTACGGAGAGAAGGAAAGAGTTTTTAGATGCCAAAATCAGCGTAGCATCTTCCTCCTCTTTTTTGCATTTACTGCGCGATTCCCAATCGTCGCTTACTCGCAAGGCAACCGCGTAGGTGCTAGTTCTGAAGCCTTTGCTCCCTCCCTAGTATATTGTGCAAATTAGCTACTACACATCACACTCCCCATATGTGTCTGTGTGTGTGCGCGTGTGCATGCTTGTAATCAATAGGGCTTCTTTCTCCCCTCCCCATTCTCTCTCTCTCTCTCTCTCTCTCTCTTCTCCCTACAATAAAATGTGTGCTGTAAATGCAGGAGGAGGCACATTTGTCCTATGGCGCACTTTTGGACCTAACCGCTTTTTTTTAGTGCCACTATGATCATCTACTCTTCCTCCTCACTGCATCATCATCGTTTTGTCTGCGTTTTGGGACATTTGGTCAACATTGCCTCCCTCAAATTCCACTTTGTCTATATGTCTTTGTGATTTTACGTTTACCTACGATCTCATAAGGGAGAATAATGACACTGGTACGCAGATTCCGTGACGTCCACCATGAAGGTTATGAATTCGATGTTTATCGACACAATCGATTAATCAAATGAGGCGTAGCAGAATGTCGGTTTTTCATTTTCAAGAAACAGTTTATTTATTTAATGTGCCTAGTTCATTAATTGAACCGTCTCTTTATCGACATTCACAGCTTTCTATTAGAAGCGAATGTCTCTGTAGTCGAGAAAATCGTTCACTTATCCACTTGTAAGTTTATTAATAATCATCGTGGGTGTTCATGGGCTCAATACTCAAAAGTAAATAAATATCTAACGGTGTGATCAGTGATGTTTATTAAATGGTGTCGGAGAATGCCACTGGCTTATGGCCGAAGTTTTGAGGGTTACCGTTTATTTGAACACTTCTGTTTTGTGTGTTGGAACTTCTTTGTTTAATTTTCACTGTAGCGCACATCATTGGCGATGTACTTAGATGTCTAATGGTCCTAGAGATGCAATAGTACTCTCGTTTCCATTAAAGTATACGATTATAGCAAACCGAAACTATCTTTAATTCATTCCCCTTACTGATAGTTCCACGTCCTACAACAGACCTGGAGTCATGAGAAGGAAGATAAGACCTTGGTGATAATGTTGAAAGCGTTAGACACCTCCTTCAACTCCAATGTTGTGGTTTCTATTCTCACTGGGAAATGAAATGAAGGATTGAGACACCGTGACATATAACTGTCAAGTCATTACTTTTTCTTAATAAGACATTCATCACTGTCAACTAATCATTTACGGACCAGGAGAATTGCCTGTTAGCGTGTAAGCTAAACCGTTGCTTTCGTTGAGTTTGAACATTTTTCTCTTGGATTAAAAAGAAAGTGTATTTTGTTATATTTTGGCTGACAAGCCTATCTCCTGAATGGTATTTGCGATGGTTACAATCGCTGTTTCTATTAGCAGTGTTGCTCAAATGAACTCGTGACTACCGCAGTATTGGGTCAAATTTGTACAGTGCTCTGCTTAATTTGCAATGAAAATACTCCTTTTTTTGTCTGTCAAAGAAGAACAAGGCCACGCATTCATTGGTCGGTTGGACGTTTCAATACTTTTTCTTAGTGGGAAGCACTTGTTTTCGTGAAATAAATTTTGCTTTTACTTTAGCTAATCGTTGGGGAGAACTATGCTACGGTTTGAAACTATTTATTATTATTATTACTATTATCCGCGATGACTTTGGGAAATAGTAAAATAGTTCTGCAATGAGGTAAGGCGTAGTCTTTTCTATCACGTATTTACTTGGTTTCCCTAAGCGTTGAGTTGTTCACTTTTTAATAAGTAGTGTGACTCACTTTGTAATATTAAATTTCTTCGCGTGGTTGCTTAGTGAGACCGTATATGAGGCATTCGAATCTAGTTGGCCATTTGATTTAATTTTTTTCCCACCATACAGTCGTGAGTTGATGCTTGATGCTAGGAGCGATATATGTATTTTTTGTTAATAAGATTAAATTAGCAAAACCAGTAGAGTTAATACAAGGTTACTGTTACAGTTTAGTTACTGAAAACGATTCCATTTTAGTGAATTCGAATATTTATCTCACCAACAGTCTAGATTAATAGCCAATAGCGACGTGTTATACAATTAAATGCGAATGGAACTATTACTGGATATTCAATTACTGATATATTCTTTCTATCGACCTGAATTAATATGGAGTTTACATTTTTTCGCAATTCATTAGACGTCATTGGCTAGTTGAAAGTAAGCGCGCCTCTACTCCTTGTGTGAGACAAAAGTGTTTTGGAGTACTGTCTGGTTGGTATTATTGTTGTTTGTTGTCCATCATAAGTAGTAAACAGTCCTAGAAGGCTTCTTAGGAAGAAAAAAACGAGTACATTGCAGACAGTTGAAATCCAAGTTTATTTTTCCTAGCTTTTAAGCACTTATAATTTGCTTTGTTTTGTTTACAATTATGCATTGCCACTTTGGGTTGAATAAGCAAGTTTAATTTGTATGTTGAAGTGCAAATGAGCTGTTAATATTTTATTTCGAGACCTTATTTAGAGGATGGAAAATGTAATGTAATGTAATGGGCAAAATTCACTGATTACATTTGAACATTAGTGCTGTTCATTACCTCTGACCTGATTGGAGGTTTCTTTATCATTATGCCCTACTGGAGGTTACGTTGGAAGTTTGTGCAATTGAATATCAAATTTGTCCCCTTGAATCGACTTTGCATTTTAATCAGCTGTGACTCACTTGGAATTTCAGTTGATTGGGATGCGTTTACTTCTCAGGGCAACTTATTATCCATTCCGTAGTTAATTAGTTTTCAGTAACCGTCAACCCCTCATCCTCCCCGGTTCTCTACTCAGTATGCACCATAGTGTCTTTTTTAATCATCCAACTGCTCTATGAGTATTTCCATATTTTGAAAATATCTACTTAGTACTAATGTTTTTTTTAAATAACCCTGTTGCGGTCAACCCCTTTTTGTATGCAAATTTCCGCTTTGTTACCACACTTGTTTTCTTTCTTATTTGGCTATTATCGAATCGCATTGAGACCATTTGTGGAGAATCGACAGGGAGAATTAGGTCCGAGCGTGTGCTCCTATTTACTAAGTTCATAATTTGCTTTTATGTTCATTTCGTTTTGTTTCGATGGGGGGGGGGGAGGGTGGTGATGGAGGTGGTGGTGGGCCTTGTCAGTACCGCCATCTCAAAGGATTCAATTGACTCATTAGTAAACAGCCATCAAAAGGTAAGAGACAGCGCGAGGCGCGGTAATTCAATTCTCTCGCCAGATGTAGTGGTAAGATAGAATCAAAGTCATCCAGGGGTTGTTGTTATTGTGTGTTGTTTTGTGATAAACGCGCGCTGACTGTTTACGCACTCGATTAGGCTTTTTCTTCTTTTTATAGCTCTGTCGGTAGACCATAAAGACATCTGCCGTTCAAATCAATAATCTTTCCTATTACACATTCAGTCTCTGTCTCTCTCTCTCTCTCTTTCTTAACGTCTGGTGGTTAGGTTGCTTATCCAAGCGAGTTTAACTGGCGTTCTCTTTTTAGTTGAGAATCAATCCTCAGGCCCATTAAATAGTGTTAATAACACTTAATATGGACAGAGGAGAAGTGTTATGCAATCCCTTATCTGGAACCCACTTTCTGCCGTCCATCTTGTTAGGTTCGTGCCTTAGTATGCTCCACTATCCTCCTGTAGACAGCCGATTTCCAAGTTGCACGGGTGTGTACAATTTGATTCACACAGGGGCTCCAAGGTGTAAATTCTCCTTTCACATTTAGTTTCAACATATCTTCACAGGCTCCATTACAGAAGGGTTAACATTATTTAACTTGACTAACAATTACTTGAGTCACTTTTGAGAGATCTAAATTGTAGCACCCCTTCTGCTGGTTGCTAACAGCTTCATTGCCTCCAACTTAAACACACTGATCTGTACTCCAAAAATAAACATCACATACCTGCGAATTAATTGGCTAGATCTTCTAGTAGACAGTCCCATTTCCTTTAATCAGCCGCGGTTAGCCTACTTCTACTAATGACTTTAATCGTCATCTTCACTAGACCTGGAGGGTGTAGTGATTTTTTATTACCCTAATGCCTGACTGGCTGGCTGGCTGACTTTCTGTGTGTCTCTCTTGATATGATACACCACTAAGATTTATGTGCGATGCGGTGGTCATTAGTTGATCGCAAATATAGTAAATATATGATGGTGATGATGGTGGTGGCTGTGGCTGAGCAGGTCTTTCCCGAGTATACTTGTAAGGTGGACTCAGTTGAGGTGCTGTTCTCAAAAGAGACCATCGAGGTGGGCAGGTAGATAAAATCGATCTGTCGGAATAATTAGAGAACTCTGAGCCCTCGTAGTGCTTTTGAGAAAATGTTTTCATTGTATAAATGGACTGAGCTCTGAAGAATGTGCTATCTTTTTTTTTACTTTTTCTGTGTCCTGAAACAATTTCCCCCTATAAGTCTCTACTTTAAACATCGATTGGAAAGCAAATTATGCAACACTAATGCCCATCTAGTCCTTCAAAACGCATCGAATCTAGACAAAATGTATTAAAGAAAAAAAGAAGAAATTAAAGCCTAGATCATTACAGCCGCCTCTGTTGAGTCTACGTGATCCCTTGCATGCGCATATATTTCCAAGCATTTTTGTAATCAAATGCGACATTTGTGCATCAATAATCGTATGTACTCTCCTCCTCCCCCTCCCCCCCCCCACCTCCCCCCACAATTTGATCACTGTCTCCATCACTAAAACAGTCATTCACTCGGCTTTGCGCTATTTTCCCTTTTGCATATTTAATTTGCTATTTTTTTTCTATATATAAAACCGTAGACTATAGTTTACTTATATCAAATGGCAGGCTTTATGGTAGCTATCATTAGCCCTTTAGTTGACTTTTGGCTTCACAGAGGGAAAAGTGAAAAGGGGATCTGAAGAGTGATTTACAGACTAAAAGGAAACAGACAGACTCAAAGGTAAGGTGAGGTGAATACTTTGGCAATGGTTGAATATGACATATTGTTGGGTCATGGTAGTTTGAAGTTAGAAGTCAATTGCCAGTTAATAGACTTTTTTGCCGTATGAGTTTACGTTGCCAGGATGCATCACGTGGAAGTCAGTCTATCGCGGATGCTCTGTAAACTACTGTAATGCTTATGAACGACCGTATATGGTTATGATTGTTGCGTAATAGTCTTCTTTGCTTATACGTCTGTGTTCTATACTTTTTCGAATATTTAAAAGACAATTTCTAGTACTTACTGGCTCTCTCATATTTCTTATAATGGAGATTTTTACGGTTTTTTTTTTGCTTTCAGCAATGACTTCTCCCAGTTAGTTGGCGAGGAATTTGCAAGCTTTTTCGACTTCACCGATCAGTCCATAGATGCAGCACTGCGACATTTCATGACCAAATTCGCTCTTACGGGCGAATCCCAGGAGCGGGAGCGCATTCTCTTCCACTTCTCCCGTCGCTACGTTGCCTGCAATCCCAGTGTTTTTGTTTCCGATGGCAAGTTTCCGATTTGTTTTTTTATAAATCATTCCATTGTAATTTCATCAGCATTCTATTTATTCGTTTATAGCATGGGTCTGTTTTTATTTTAATAATTGTGTGGCTTTCACTATAAGGCTCGATAAGTTTTAAGCAACAGGCCCAATTTTTTCTGGTCCTCTCTATCTGATTTAACGTTTAATTAATATATGCTACTGTACAAGATTAGTGCTTCCTACTGCTAACCGCGAATCCTAGGAATGCTGACCCCCTTCCTGGGCATTTTAATTGTCTGCTCCACTCTGTACATTGTTAGCAGATGGACGATTAATTGATCCCTTGTGGTCAGATATGATACAAGTAAGACTGTGTGTGGGGTGGCGGGGAGGGGGGGGGGGTCGTTAAACATAGTTTTAGCAGAAACTATTGAGGATATGATGATTTCTCTTATTTACTCTTATATCAAAGAATGGGCGACCATCATTCTTATATTGAACGGCACATCTGCTGCATTATTTGTTTATTTTGAGCTATTACTCATGAAGGTAAACATCATGGTTCGATTTTCCATTGTTGACATGAATTACTATTTGTAACCAAGATTAGATTACATTGTATAAGCTGTAAAGCCTTGAGGCCACGCGATTGGCTATTGCCTTCGTCTTTGTTTTGCCCTTTCCAGTATGTGGGATTTGCGCTGAGATGTTAGTCAAAAAAATAATTAAATTTATGCCCCGTGTGTGTGCTTCGTGTGTCAAACAATATGTTGAACTAATAAATTTTTGCATTGGTAATGCTTATTTCGGCTAAATAATCACAGTGGGGAAAAAACAGTGGTCAAGGCGGCCTGGATTTCCTTATCTCGATCGAGGACTTCTTTTGTTTTCTGCCATAAATTTGCGATAGTCAGTTCTATCAAATGTTTTGTGATCAGTTCTCTTTTCTTCCGAAATGCCAATTGTATAACTCACTATTTTTATGTGTTGATGCAATAAAAAGAAAGGATAAAATAGATTTGCTTTTCTTGTGGAAGGTATTCGCATTGTATTTCATGCTGTATTTATAGTCCTTTTCTACCTCTTTCGCCAATGGTCTTTTAACAGTTAGGGCCAACTTTTACCAACTTCTTGTAATTCGATCGTTCTCATGTTGTCTGCGAAAATTCAATTTTACAAATTGACGACCATGTACCATTGTGTATTGACTTTGTGAGTTTTGGCTTGGCGAAGCCCATCAATCTATGACAGAAAGCGTAAATAGTCCTGATCATTTATGATCCGATTGTTTGACTGAGAGTTCACATCTCTCTCATTATTTGAAAACTCCATCACAATGTGCCTTTGATCTACAACTCCCTCGATTTGCAATTTTTGATGGGGCTACAGTAATTCTACACAGTTCTGCTGCACCTATTTGCAGATTTTTTGGCGTTTTCTCTCGGTTGTTTTTTCAGCTCAGATAAGAATAATCTGTAATCTTCTTCTTACTTAAGTGAAATTAATAAATTCACCATCCTTTTCAATAAAATAACCATGTGTGGGCTAGCATAACTCCCTTCCCCCTCCCTGGTGAATTAGAATTTGAAACATCAGTAAGGTATGATTAAAAGTGGTCCGTGTAGTCGTTCGCATGCCTAACCCTCCCCCTCCCCCCCCCCACCCCCCACCCTCCATCCACACCCCCTCCCCCTAAAAGTTGGTTTAAAACAATCATAATAATATTAGGACAGTTTTTGCTGCTTTTGCACCTTATTTTTGCATTTATGGGCGTGGTTTTGGTTGAATGATACTGTGGCAGTTGTCAGCAAGTGTTTTTCGTCAGTTTGGTATTTATCGAGGCTCATGAAAAAATACGCTGGTGCATTCTTTTTTTTTGGTTTGTCAAATGACACTCAAAAGTAATGAATGGAATTTGAATCTCTAAGTCGAGAATGGTATCTTCTCTATTTATATGGACATAATGATAAGGAAACCATTTTACGTAAAATCTTTTCCAACGTTCATTTCGGGAAGATGGGTATTGTCATGGCGTCACTCTTGTAAGGACTCAAATTTAACCCCCCCCCCCTCCCACCTCTTCCTCATATATTAACTAACGTCCTTACTTGGAATTTATCGACGGGTTTCGAAAATACTCACGTCTGACAAAACCGTTGATTATAATTACCTACCATATAATTTTAGTGGAACATTTAACTAAACATGTTTGTAGCCCAGACTAGAATTTTGTTTGATTCAGTACGCTAACTGAAATTTTGGTTATCATGGTGTATATCGGTCAGGTTGATGCTTGACACTTTAAGTGATGCAAATGAGGACATTTAATTAATAAAAATATTAAAAATATCTTTAAAAGAGTTAATTGGAGGGCACTTCCATTGCTATTGTGTGTTATTCCGAATCATATTTAATTTTAATAACATTTTTATTTTCAGTTTTTCATTCTTTCACGCTTATTTGCCCATATGAGTTCATGGAGGCTGTATTCAATATTTATTGACTCATTGATTTAATCGAAGGGCTGGTCGTATCACCGCAAGTTATGTGTGTATCGTCTTACAATCAAGTTAAGGTAGATTTGAGACAGTTTAAGGACACTTCTAAAAGCTGTATTTTGTCATTTTTGTGACTGGTTATTAGCTTTCATTACCTAAGCACGGTTTAGAGTATGAGCCACAGCTGGCAAAAGTCAGTCTAATTTAATTATTTCATTTTTTTTTCTCATTTTGAGGCTTTCTCTCGCTTTCTTTGCTACGACCTTAATTAGCCTCATATTACCTTAGGACTCTATTATCACATGAATTTGTGTTTCTACTAGACAACTGCGTATCTATCACCTGCTAATTTTAAAGTGTCTGCGATCACACTCACTCCAACAGGCTCTCCAGTAGACAACGCTCGTTAGGATCCCTTTCATTTTTCTTAATTTCCTCAAACACACGCACACCTGGTGAATGTCTGGCTATCTGGCTCAAAAGTCCGAAGTCTGACTGCAGGGTGGCTACATGACTGCACCGGCCTGATCACACGCAAGCGAGAATCTGTCCGCGTATTTTTTTTTGCTTGTTGCTTCGAGTGGACAAGGTCGCGACCATAAAATCGTCATTGCAGTCCTCTCGTGCCCTCACACACACATGTGTGTGTCTGTATGTATGTACAAGTCTAATCGGTTCAGCATGGCACCTTATGTCATACCGCGTGTTAACCTGCTGCTTCTTATACTGGAACTTTTTAAACCCCACCTTTAGGGATTCGTATCTAGTCGGGTTGAGTTAAACCAATGCCAAAAATGTGAATTGGATGGGAATAGGGGGTTATAACTTTTGGGAGGTTTACTGCAACCATAGTTTGAGTCCTTAGAGATATATTCCCACTAGAGCGCGGATCACCTTAACGCAACTCCTTATGCAAGGTTAGTTTTTCTTACTGTAGCCAAAAACGATGGTTGTAAGTTATCTAAAATAAATATGCGTTTGTAGGCATTGCCCATCTTTCCTCTCTGCCAAGCCACGCGGGCAGTCAGAGCTCAGAATTTTCAATACAGTCATTAGGCGTTCGGTGCTTACGTGTAGTTGTGGCGTTGTATCCTCACCAAATTGGAGGCCACACATCCACTTAGCACAATCACCAACCACTTCTGTTCAAATTAGTCCAGAAAAGTGCAGTAGAATACGGTAGAGTAGACTTCAGGAGACTGCTATTTTGTCCAATTATGAGTATTGGAAACATTTGCTCAATGGACTCAAATACCATTGTTGGGAGGAATCATCTTTATTTTATCCCTTGTAAGTAGTGGGAACCTATCTTACTCCTCTAAAGCTTATCCACGTTCTATAGCCAAACCGAGGGTTAATAGGGCTTGAGTTAAGTGTACTTATGATTAACCACTTGTCATTAAATCGTATCTCCCTATTGCTGTGCACATTTCCTCACACACCCCCCCCCTTCACCCAAGTACATTTAAAGTACTGTGTGTTATTAATAAGTACTTAGGTACGGATTAGGAGTAGCCTTCCCATACTTCAACGATAGCGAGACAGAGGCGAATGAATGGAAAGTCATTCTCGTAACCTACTACATCAAAAACGGCTTAGAAACAATTGATAATTGGAGGAATGGAGGAAAGTCCACAAATCTAGAGTTAGAAGGTTATGAGCATTTGGCAAATGGTTGAAAACTACACGGTTGCCCCAAATGTAGCTATTGTAATGGTCGAGGGCATAACAGTCTAGATTCTCATATTGTCATTTATGCGGAGGTTTCTTCTGTAGTCAGTAAGAGGTTGACTGTCCATATATATATATTATTGTGATGTGCAGTGGTGATAGCAGTCGTAGAATCTCTCTTCCCCCCCCCCCCCACCACCTCCCTATTTGCCTCCATTTAGCTCTCTTTCCCACGTTTAGTCTTTCCCCACGAGGAGTTAACTTTTTATTAGCAACACTTTGTGCGCCTTCATCCCACTTCGGAGGTAAAGGAAGGAAAAGGAGTATCGTTTCCTATTGGCATTGCCTTATTTATTTTATCGGTGATCATTTTCCTTACGTAGCATATGCATGAGAACTTTGGACTCGATTCTATGCGGAGCACATCTAACGATCCGAATGAACATGGAAAGAGGAGGGGGGAGGGGGGATTGGGGGAGTTGCAGAGTGCGAGTTTCCCATTAGAAGGGCCCACTTTGACTAATTCTCTTTTTGAGATTAATACGGAAGGCACCCACTTGTCTGGAATTTTTTTAACGATAGATGTGCTCTATAGATGTAATGGTTATCCTAGTCGGAAGTCGAACTACTTTTTCCTTTCGCGAACCAACTACATTCACGCATTCTTCAAGTTGCCTGGAGATGCCTATTTTTCACAATAATCAGACACATTGATGCAACGCTGCGATGTTTATGTTATTGGTCATCCTCAAATTGAAGGAATAAGTCCAGTTTTTGTATGTGTGTGGGATGTACCGAAATTGTTCGCAAATTATAGGGTGGAGAGTACGAGAATGTGTGTTCCTCCACTGAGCGCTAATCTTCGTCGCTTGAAGCACTGCTCATTGCGTCAACAATATTGGCTACTTGAGGTGGGATTTCTCAGTAATTCTGTCATGAGACTGAGGTACCTTAATGTTCAAAGCTAGGAGCCATTGAGAAACATCTCTATTTCTCGTTAACATATACACATTTACAAGAAATTGCTCATAAGGAGCCATGCGATTATTACAATGCTGATTCTAATTCAACACGCCCAATCAATTGCCTGGTTTGCAAACGGAGATGCAACAAGCAAGAGGGAGGAAGTCAACCATACACAGGTTGGACTGCCTGTGCAGTGGAATTTTTATCATCCGACTAGAATGGAAATATGTGGATATTGTCTCAATTATCGGCAACTGTGATATTCGGGTCAAATACTGATCATTTGGTGGAAAGAAGAGGTAAGAGGAGGGTTGAATCATAATTCGCCCTCAGCAAGACGGGGGCAGTTTCTTTTAACCGCAGTGGATGTGCGTACACCCTTCTCTCCTCCCGCTGACTAATCTTTTAAGTGTGCTTGTTAATTAGTCGACCAAGTTGGAGTGTGCGTGCGTGTGTGTGTGTGATACCTACATATGCACATCAGAACCAGTTTTGTGCATCTAGTGAATCATCATTGGCGCCCATTCAGCACCCTGAACCGCAAAAGATGTCAAAAAAATTGCCGCTACTCCGGCTATCTTCATCATGTCGACCAACAACTGGCCAATTTGGTCACTTAAGGGAGAGAAATGCAATGGAGTGTGAATATGGGTGTGTGTGTGTGTGTGTGCGGTGTCATTGTGTGTTTATGTGTGCACATATGCGAGCGCCAAGTTTGTTTCCACTCGAGTCTTTGACACAGTTTTACCGGAATAGGAGTGTTAACACAGGGCACTATCTAGTTAGCTGGTCAGCTGAATCAACCGGTGTTTTCGTTATTTTTTCCGGTTCATTTATGTTTATGAGTGCTTAATCCTTCTTTGCTATTGGTTACTACTGTTTACTATTAAGACCTCACTAGCGATTGATGGAAGACCTAGTCCTCTCGCCAGGAGGTGCTCATTTGACAATTTTGTTTTTTTTCTACAATATCAATGGTCTTAAGTATCCATATTGTCCACTTTAAGTAAATGGAACTGTCAGGAAGTAACCGATTGGCGAAATAGCTGTCTTGCGATTAGATCCTAATTGTTCTCTTCCAATTGCACTTATAAGTTGAATTGCCTTCATGGAATGGGTTTGTTAAGAGTTATGAGCTTAAACAGCCTCTTAAAAAAAGTAACTTTGTACAGCGTGTCCAAATTTTTTGATTGATGGTTTGTTCATTGATTTTTGAAGAGATGTTCGAACTTTGAAAAATTGGAATTGCCTCGGTGTGCCTAATCGATATATATTCTTAATTTCGATTCCCATAGATGTCCTCAATTAACTTAACGCCACCGTTGCCGCCGATAGCATTCCTACTAGGTTGTATTTTAATCACACCCTTGTCTCCAATATGATCATTTTCCTCTTTAACATTTCTCCAGGAAACGAGTTGTTGACAGCAGTTTAAATCGTTCCCATGTACTATTGGCTCTTTCGGATTTCCATGTGGGTGTTTGTAGATTATTACACCACCACTCTTAAATTGCATATGGCAATTCATTAATTCCACGTTTGGACTAAAGTGACAGGAGTGTTGACCGCACGCGAATGCTGTTTCTAACCCCCTCCCCCCCCCCCCCCCCCCCCNTGTTTTTTTACCCCCCCCCCCCCCCCCCCCCCCCTAATAGTTCAAGAAATCACTGGAATAATTGCAAGCCTGACTGAGGTCAGAGTTGTATACTTCATTACCCGCAAATGGGTGCGGCTACAAAACCTCGAAAAGATGAACTTTACTTAATGAGATAGGCTTAGTGTTAAAGTGTTGTTTTTTTCGGAAAGGGCAAGTTTACAAAGTCAGTCTAATCAAAAATGGTCAAAATTGCATTCCCTTTAAAGTTTCTACGTGGTTAGAGAGGCTCATAGCGCTCTCTATCACATTGTAGGCCAAAAGGTGCTCTGTAACTATGGTTGCACAGAAGATTTGGAGCTCAGATAACGGCTTCACTTTAATTATTAAGGTATAACAATTTTTTATATAAGTTGGATCAATGTGATCTCTTGGCTAGCTAGCCGTTTTAATAGCAGCGATAAGACTTCGTTTCCAGTTGCGAACATGCAGGAAACTAATTGATAGATTTAGCGGTTGAATACGACAGCGGTAGTAGTTAGTGCCTACGTCTGTCCAACCAGAGATCACGAGACTGCTTTTCATCGTACACTTCCAGTGGTGTGAGGGAAGGGATAACAGCCAGAAGTCATTCTGATCCGTGATCAAGATGGAAAATGTGAACATCCCACGCAGCGGTCTCAGGGAACATAGATGCCGACTTTTTAAATTCAATGTTCGATTTTTCCTCAAATAGAAATGTAAGCTAAACTTACAACTCATTTTTTTTGGCGTCAGAGTATTTAACCAATGCATTCTCGTTTAAATCTTACTTTTGCTTTCCCTTGATTTTATAAACCAAGACTCCAATTTAAATGTATTTTTTATTGCAGAAAAGAATCCTACACCTGAGTATACGTAGCTAAGAAATTGTATTGTATTGTCTGTATTAAGTTAGACTTGCAGTTCTTTGAACCTATTAAGTTAGTCTTAAACTTCACCCAAGTTTTTACTGCTATTTCAATCTCGTCTACTTTTTGACCCAATTTCACGCGCATCTCGTTTTTTTTCTCCCTAAAAATGTCACTTCAAAATTTCGGTACGGAAATGAGGTTTCCTCCATTTCTCCACTAGTTTTTTGATGGGTTCAAATTACTTCTCCTCCTTTGCGCTTTCTGATGTTAAAAATGACATCTCGGATGTTTCAATTTATTTATTAAAAATTAGAAGAGGTGAACACTTGGATAACACTTTCTGAGCATATTGAGGGGAAAAACGTCATTTGACGTCGCGTTTTCTCAATCACTTTTTTCTACTCCTCTGACCTTGAATTGTAGTTCATTCAAATATCATGCATGTAGCACGATCTTCTGCGCGAAGTCGGAGATTGCAGGATGGACGTCCATTGGTGCTCATCAGTTAGCAGAATGGCCGAACGAACAGATTAAGTCGACCTTACTAGGTCCTCTTTAATGCTACCCAACTGCCTGTCAAAAAATTTCCTTCCTAAGTGAACTTTGAAATTTTCATTTAGTCGTGAAGTATGCTAATCTGGGTAATTTTAGCCTTCATTTCTTACAAATTATTCCCTGTAATGTGAAATGCTAGAAAGAATGAGCAAATTCAGCCCATTGTATCAGATGTCAAGTGTTTAAGTAGTTACTTTGTTTCTACTCGTGGGATTTAGGTTTGGAATTACACGAGGAGTATCTATTTCCATTTCTTTTCTTCGAGAATTCTGTTTTCAAGTATATCACATTTCTGCATTCGTTCTAGAGATCCTCTGCCTTTTTTTTCCACCGTTTGGCCAAAAATAAGTGGGTCATATTAGTGTGTGGTTGTCCGAAATGTGCGCTTCACGCTCTACTAGGATGGCTGACATTTCTTTGATTATACGAGGAACATATCTTGTGCTAAGTGAGCGTTGCATCATTGGATTTCTAGTCTCGATACGAATTAGTGGCAGCCTCTTTTTTGCCCCTCTAAAGCAATCAAATTTGAATAAATATATATATAATCTCTATATAGAACTGCAGACTAGTTTTTGTTTCCCGATTTTTATCTAATGAATCACCTGGCGAATTCCAGGTGATTAATAATTTTTAAGTATCTAACTAACCTATGGTCTGATTGCGAGTCAAATGCGCAGGTGGTTTATTTGGTGCACTCTTTGGAAAACTTCGACCCAGCAGATTGTTGAGTCAAGTTAGTAGTGGTGGTACGCGTTTTGGTAAGGAGGTTGCCTCAAGCAAAAAAATGAAGGAACTTGAATAATTGTACAATTTTGAACTTGAATAACTACGATTCCCTGTAAGATTAAGTGCTAATTGCTATTGAATCAGTTGAAATATGAATATATAGGGTGCACGATGAAACACTGGTCAATTTACCGATTTGAAAAGTTAAAGTCCGTGATCAGTGTTCATCGGCGCACTTCTAATGTTGTACATGGTAGACTATACTCATAAGGACTACCTCTGAATATCATCTCTCTCTCTCTCTTAAAGCAAGCGCTATTAACACTTCCGTTAATAGGGCTTGAAGAACAGTTCTTTCCTATTAAATTGCCTTATGAAGGTACTTCTCCACTCGCGAAGTGGCCAATGTGTGCACGTTTCCTTAATTTAGCTGCAATTTGATTAATGACTCCAATTATTGAATAAACGCATTTTATCCCCCTTCTTCTTCTTCTTTGCCTATTTTGCAGATGCCTGCCATACCCTGGTCTGCGCCCTCATGCTGCTGAACACTGATCTCCACAGTCAGGTAATTCGCCTCTCTTCTCTATTTTCTCGTCTCTCGGCTAGGCTCGATTCTCGCATTCAGTAAATGACACATCTAGTTAATCAAGGCGGTTAAAAAAGGGAAACAAGTAAAGCAAGGGGCTGAAGAACGCGAATTTCTCATCAAAAGTCCCCCAAGATACCATTTCGTTGGCAAAGATGATTCCTTTAATCACCTCTCTCTTTCTTTATTGGGCTCTAGTTGTTCTTTTCCTTCTAAATTTGTCCATTGCATTGCCAAATTAATAAGACAAGGCGGTGTAGTCAATACCTAGGCGTCGAAGTGCTGTCTTGCAGAAGGAATTCAACCCGTAGAATGCACTTTTTTCCAATTTATGTATTCTGTTCTGTCATAGATAGATATGTATAACTGGTATTTCCATTACACATATTTCTCTTGACTTATCCATATGTCATATTTGACCGCATGATTTGCTCTTATTTAATTATCGTATTTTGGAGAAAGTTTCTGTTAGTTAAGAAAATGAAGATTTCCTCCTGCACTATTCACTACAAACAGAATGGAATGGAAGCAAAGGCGTTGTGATGAGTATCGAAGCTAAGTAGAGAGACGCCTGTCATGTTGTTACTAGACTAAAAATTAATCTGTCTTGGGATGAGAGTGAAACGTAAACCAAACTGTGAAACAGGAGGAAAAAACAGAGCTTGGAATTGTGAAGTTTTGAAATTTAGGTTGGATTGATGGACCGTTATGCAGTGATTAACGTACCCGCCTGTGAGTTCAGAATTCATCGGGGTATACCTGGTGGACATTTATTTATTTATCTCAAATGGTAGGCGGTTTGAAAGTTATCATTAGCCCTGGAGCTGACTTCGGGGCTTCACAGAGAGGAGACGGAACATCAAAGTGACAAAAAATTCGAGAGGGGGAACAGAAGAGTGATTCACAGATGTAAAAGAGACAGACAGACAGACACAAAGGCATATAAAAGGTAAGATGAGTACTGTGTAAGGGTTCGAATATGACAAATAGTCGGGCCGTAGGAGTTTGAAGTCAAAATCAACTGCCGATCAATAGACTTTTATGCCGTATAAGTATACGTTGCACCACGTGGAGGTAAGTCTATTGCGCACCCCTACCTGGTGGACATAAAAATGTGGGAGAATTCGATTGTCTCGCCAGAGATGCTCCGTGGTGAAATCCAGTGCCTAAGGCGTTGATTTGAAATTGTCTCGGGAGTTATTATTAGTAGTATGGGTTTGTAGCAATGCCACAGAAGTCCTTTCATCTCTCCATTCCACATCATCTCACTCGATTCTGAACTCCCTTTCCTAACTTTCAGAGTGATTAGTTTCTTTAGGCTTTAACTAAGATTGTTTTTTTAATCTAATTCTACCTACTGGTGGTCTCATAGTTAATTATTGTTTAATTGGCCACCGAGTTGTAATTAGCGGTTATTTCATGTGTATTTAGCCGGCATGCGATCAAAGGTATGAGGTCCCTATTTGATCATTAGGACTTGATCTGTGACGATGTGCTATTGGTGTTAAGTTTAGAACTGAAGTGTTGTGTGTCTGCTTTTAGTAAATGTACTTATTGAATTAGTCACTTTGCAAGTTTATTTACGCTCTGTGGTTTAGGAAATGCATTCCATAGTGTCTAAATTACTTGAGGTGCATTGGACACCACGTGATATTGCAAAGATTAATCTATTTACTTGTCCAGAGTCAGTGAAGGACGATTTTCTTCTCCATTCAATGCAACAATTGTTATTTTCAAATCACTGCATTTTCAACGCAGTGAGTCTCTCTCTCTCCACGATTAGTTTCTTGCCACGAAAGGCCCTAATTGATTATTTTAATGATATATCAAGATGGCGTAAAATTAAATCAACATGAAACCCTCCATTTAAGACCACTATCTGCAATCATATAATTAACATGCGCGTATGAATGTCATTGACAGTAGGACTCTAAAATATACCATTTTTAGGTTCGATTAGAAATTTGTTCATTAGTTGCACTTTCGCATTCAATCTGGACTTTGCTGAGAATTTATGTACTTTTGATTGTTTGAATTTTGTTGTGCTAGCTTAGTTGTCTTACCTTCCTCCTTCTCCTCCATTTCAGAGCGTCGCACGAAAGATGTCCTGTCAAGAATTTGTAAATAACTTGATGGAGCTCAACAACGGCGAGAACAACTATTCGTCAGAGGAGTTGAAACGTCTCTATGAAGCATTTAAGCAAGAGCCTCTTCGGTGGCCCGTGTAAGTTGATTTCTCGTCTGTTTGAGCTCCACATACACACACACACACACTTAAGGCTAATCCTCCAGGCTTTAAAAATGGCTTCAAGGGAGTATCCAAACATGTAGGAAGAGACGGTGGTATCTTTATGAAGACTTTTAAAACTTCAATGCCTATTGGAAATTAATACGCAATCGCGTCTTCTTTAACGCCTCTATTCAATCAACGTGGCTAAGACATAGTTTTATCAAGTTGATTAATGAGTGGATTAAATTCCCAATTGCGATGTTGAAAGCATTTGGTGATCTCTGCGTAAAAGTTACCGAAAATGGTCTTTCCTACCACCTTAAGACCTTTTGAACTCCTAATATTTGACCGTGAAAATGCGTGTACGCCATTGGCTTCTAGATTTTTTTGAAAGTGGATTAAATTTCATGGATTTCATGAACTAATTTATTAGAAAATCCTCTGTGTTAGATTGAATTAGTGTCGCAAATTTACATCTGATTTAACTTTGAGAGTTATCGAATAGGCTTGGTCCTAACCATTTCCACTTGAGATAGTACCAACTGCTCTCATGCGTCATGTCAACTTGTAAATTTTCATGACCAGATAGGAGGAACGTGTAAATGAGAAATTAGTCCCAAAATCGCTCTCACTTTCCCTCCACCGGATTTTTTGCTTCTACTCAAGGTCACTCAATGAAGTGAAGGGAACTTTGAATACACCCCCCCCCCCTACAGAAAAATCCAAGTGGACTAAGGAATGCGAAATCGCAGGAGAGCAAATAATCGCGTTGTCTCGCTAAATGAATTCGAAATTGAAAGTTGTGCTCTCTATTTTTCACTTCGTATCCTCCAGATGTTCCTTAAATATATTGACTTATTGTTTTTATTACTACTATTTACTTGCTTCTATTTTGTGTATTAATCATACGTTCAGAGGTATTAATGAAAGGTGGTTGGTTGTGGTTTTAAATTTAAAGTCAATAGATCTTGAACTGTATGTGGTTGTAAAATTTCTTTTGAAACAAAATAGCTTTCGACTAGGTTCCAATCATGCATTCTGCCCACAAATATTTTGATCGAAACGAAATTTAAAGACCACTCGTTTTAACGGAAATGGGTTCTGTTGATAACCATTGTTATTGCGTTTAAAAACACGCACACACACATCTCTCTCTGCCTCGTGTATTTGCTGTGGCCTTTACCTGATCATTTATATCAAAAAACTTTATTTTTAATGTCTTTTAAATGAGTGCGGTGTGTGCTTGTTGGTCACATCAGCGACAGCAAGTCCACGTTTTAGTTGAATGTCACTTGTTAGCTCACTGTTGGATTGTGATTCTCTACAATCCTATATGGAATTAAAAAAGGAAGCAAATTTTTTTGATTGGCTGATATTCCTCACCCTCGGCCAATCAGCGTATTTTCGCATTTCTTCGTTCACCATCTTTTTTGGGGGGTCGGGTGGGGGGGGGGGACGGAGGAGTGCGCGGTGAAAGAGGGGTAGGGTTGTTGTTATGATTCATTAATATTTTCTCTGCCAATATTTTTCCCCTTTCCAGCCAATCACCTATGGAGTTCGGTGGTGGTAAGTCGGGCTTTAGCCATCCGTAATTTGGTTTATGCTGCTTCTCCGTGCGTATTGTCGAGATGTCCATTCCCCTAACTCTACCATTCGCCTACACTGGTAGCAAATTCTGTTTGAAAAGTTTACTTAATTGAAAAGAGCTCATTGTCGTTTTCATTCTTCTGTGTTTGTGAACATATGCACTTCCGCCCAGCTACTAAGTTAAATTTATTGGGAGAAAAGACTGTAAAATTTGCCTATTGTTATATTTACCTTCTTATTTTTGTTGACGAACACGTGTTAAAACTAACTCCAATTTTTCCATATCAATGTGGAAAGTGCCTTGGGTGAAGTGAATCCTCAGCACCGAGAAATGGCTTTTTCTGGTCTTAAAATGGAAAGGATTGCTTAAATATCATCCCATGAAACTCGGGAACTATTAGGTTGGCAACTAAGTCATTGCCGATTTCAA